CTGAAAATAACCTCAACAAAAAGAATCAACCACACAAAGAAATTAAGTATCCTGAGAGGAGAGTTGTAGTACAAGACAGAGAAAATACAGAAACCCAGGGACTGCAGGCAAGAGTAGTTTCTGAGTGAGATTACAAAAAAGAATATCTAAAATAATGGAAGAAATAAAATAAGGAATAGAAATCCTAAATTAAGAACATTACGGGAAACGAACATTAAAAAAAAACAAAAAACAAAAAAACAGGTGAATTTGAAACAGACCAAATAAAAATTCATAAAAATAATAATCACTGAAAATAACAACAAAATGGATGGGTTAAACATCAGATTAGATAATAACTGAAGAGAGAATTAAAGAACTGAACAATATATTTGAAGAAACTTTCCAAAATACAGCCCAGAGTCAAATGACCAGAAAATGAGACTACCTGTAAAGAGATACAGAAGATAGAATGGAAAGACCAATGTTATTTCTAATAGGAATCTCTGAAGAGACTAATGGGGGGAGAAATAATAGTTGAAGACGTAAATGTCTGCAAATTTTCTAGAGCTGAAGAAAGGCAAACATCTTTATATTGAAAAGGTACAATGAATCCCAAGCAGAGTAAATAAATTCCTGTGTAGCCACATCTAGTGAAACTGTAGTATATCGAATACATAGAGAAATTCTTAAAAGCACCCCTGAGAAAAAAATTACCTACAATTGAACATAAAGCAGATTGATAGCAAACTTCTTAACAACATAATATATAACATAAACAAATATATCAAAAACTATGCCATCAGTGTAGAATTCCATACCCAACTGTAGTAGACATTTATTGTTTCAGCTATTTAGCTTCCAGGACTACTTCTTGTTTGGGGGAATTCCTAGATAGGTGGGAATCAAGGTCCCATTTCCCATGACAGTTAGCTATTGTCTTTGTCCCCTACTAGCTAGAGTACAGGCTCATGACTTCATTAAAGACAATCTGATGACCCCACTCTTGAAAGAGTCACTCAAGGGGGAAACTAAGAATGGGAAAGCTTGGTAGCAAATGTTCAGGGTAACAGCCCCAGTGGTAGCATTCAAGCCACATTGTATTGGGGACCAGGTCCAAGCTGGGCCTTGATTCTGAGTTTGGTTCTCCAATCTTGTTGCAAGGTCATTTCCCTGATACCCTAAAGTATTTCTAAGTCAATTAATTAGAGTCTGTTTCTATTCTATGTAATCAAGAGTCCTGGGTAGCTAAATTATTATTCATAACTAGAGCATAGGGAGCACAAGGTGGAGTAGGGTTGGTGAGCCCATCTCTCTGTTAAGGTATCTTTTAAGCAGAGACCTGAAAGAACTTTGGCAGAGAGACATAAGTCTATCTGGGGGATGAATAATCTGTACAGTAGAATGACAAATGCAAAGGCCCTGAGGAAGTAACCTGCTTGGCAGATTCCAGGAAGAGTCTGATGGAGGCTGCTCCATGTTTACTAAAAACCCGTATACTCTATCTATCCCCTGGGCACACAGCTATCTGACATTTCCCACTGCAGGTAGGTGTGGTCGTGTGCTTGAGTTCTGCCCATGAATATGGGGGGAAGGGAGGTTTGCTGCTCCCAAACCTGGCCCTTCAAAACTTACCTGCAGCCTTCCACTTGCTCATTCCTCCCTTGCTAGCTGCATGCAAGGGCCAATTTTCTGAAGACTCCAAGGCTCTGATCTCCCTGCACTCTTGAAGATATCCTGGGTTAGGTAAGTTATCAGCGGTCCCCAACCTTTCTGGAACCATGGACCGGTGCTCCTATGAGAATCTAACGCCTAATGATCTGAGGTGGAGCTGAGGTGGTGATGCTAGTGCTGGACAGTGGCTGCAAATACAAAGCTTTGCTCACTTGCCTGCCACTCACCTCCTGCTGTGTGGCCTGGTTCCTAAGAGGCCGCAGACTAATACCAGTCCACAGCCTGGGGGTTGGGGACCCCTGAGTTATTTGATCCCCCAACTTATGGTCTCAATCTGGAATTTTCCCTGCCCAACCTCATTTGGACTGTGTCCCCCAAAGTAAACTTCCTCCCAAATGTTTTCTCCGTGCTGGAGACCAAGATTTCCCCAAAATCCAACTTGGAATTCTTGGCCATTTGAAAAGCAGAGATTTCTTGGACAGCTTTCCTTCCCAGGTTGGTGGACATGGGCAGTATGATATAACAAAGAATATATCTGGTTTTTGTCCTGGTTCCTGGCACAGACCTACAAAAACCATGGAATTTCCTAAGTGATAATTCTAACTGAGTCCCTAGATAGTCTCACAATGGGGCTGGTCACAAGAAAGACCAACCACGTGATTAGAGGGTTGGAACTTTAGGCAAGCCTGACCTCCATGGAGGGAGACTTGAAGTTGAGTTCAATCACATGGCCAATAATTTAATAAATCATCCATAGTAATGAGCCCCATATGAAAACTCTGGACACTGAGGCTCAGTGGAACTTTGCCAACAATGTGGGTTGACAAACATTGGTGTGCTGGGAGAGCAAACTGCCCAGGTTTCACAAGGAGAGGACATGGAAGTTCTATGTCCACGCCCCTTTCCTGCCAGACCTCGCCCTGTGAATCTCTTCCATGTTGCTGTTTCTCATCTGCATCCTTTATAATAAAACTGTAATCATAAGCATAGTGCTTTCCTGAGTTCTGTGAGTTGTTCTAGTGAATTATATAACCTGAGGGGGGCTGGTCATGGGAAACCCTGAATTTGTAGCCAAGTCAGACATAACTTCAGGTGGGCTGGGGACCCCATTTGTAGCTGGCATCTGAAGTGAAGGCAGTCTTGTTGGGGACTATGTCCTTGAATTTGTGGGGTCTGGGCTAACTCCAGATGGTTAGTGTCAGGGCTGAATTTGATCATAGGACACCTAGTTGGTGTTAGAACACAGAAGACAGAGACAACTTCTATATGTCTGACATGTACTTTCACCGACAGTTCTATCTGTGAACCTCTTGCTAATTTGACTCTGAATGCTCAACAAAGAGAACTTTCTCTGCAAAAACAGCTATTTCTTTTAGAGCTAGACACTGGCATTTTTGTTAAGATCAAGGCCAGAGAGAGCAAAGGGAGGAATTCGGCTCTCCTGTTTTTCTTCCTACGGACACTTTCAGGCCACACTTAAGTTTCTTTATAACTCCATGTTAAGTGCTGGCAAAGAATATATAAATATTTTTGAAGGTCTAAGCTCCTCAAAATACTTATGTCTGCTGCTCAGGGGCTGGTATTCTTGGTTTTGCAGTGGAATTACACTGCCATGCATCGTTTTGTTTTGGTTTTTTAGAGATTGACAGATTGCA